AGTATTGATAACCACCAAATCAGGTACGAGATGATGTCAATGCTGTTTAAGGCAAGGGCAAGTGTCGGTGGACAACAGGTTGCAGAAGCTCTCCTTGCGAATATATCGGAAACACCTGTCGACATGTCTCTTCTTCGACTTATTCTCGAGCAAGGAAAACCAGACATCAACGGCCTCAACGGCCACATTCTGCAGAAAGCCGCTCAAACTCCTGACCCTAAGGTTATCGATCTCATCCTGACCTTGGGCAAACACAACCACGACACTATCCCTGTTTGTCTCGAAGGACTGGCGAAAATCCCATCGAGCGAGAACAAAGCGTGGAAGCTTGATGTTATCTTGACCAGATCACCCAAGAAGATCAACCTGGATGCAATGCTTGTGCAAGAAGTCCAAACTCTTATCGAGGACACATCTGGCAATGCCTCTTTTAAAACGCTGCAGAAACTATTGGACCGCGGCGCCGATGTGAACGCTTTCCAGGCAAGGGCACTATGCAGTGCTGTCAAAGAAGCGAAGGACACGATAGTTGATACCCTGTTCAGCTGTGAGAGACCACCGACAGCGGCATCACTAGCATTCGCTCTTCCGCAAGCCTTGAAGATCTCGGATCCTATGACCCGCTTGACTTTCACTAAGAGTCTAGTAGAATCTGGAGCCTCCCCTCGTGAAGTCAACAGAGCATTGATCCATGCTATTAGCCATTTCACCACAGACGTCGCTTTGATTTGTGTTCTAGCCACTTATGCTGATGCGTCTGATGGAGAAGCCCTTGCACTCGCCGTTAACAAAGAGTCAGTCGAAGTCTTGGATCTTCTTCTTTCCCAACTCAAGCATTCAGACGAGGCCAGAGATTCTTGTTTGGACCAAGCGATGAAGATTGCCGACTGGACGGTCCGTCTTAATATCTGCAACCGTCTGGCAAAGTCTGGCGTGTCATCTCAAGCGGCCTCTAACGCTCTGCTTGTTGCGGCAAGGGATGGTGATCTGGAACTTGGAGATGTTCTTATTGCTCACGGTGCCAGTATTTCCACCAACGGAGGCCAAGCTATCATAGAGGCATGCCGCGGTGGTTCTGTTGAAGTTCTCGATGTGCTTCTCAAGTCCAACGCCGATACCCAAAATTTGACTTTGGAACGTGGATTCCAAGCTGCGACTGAAGTTCGAGATTTGAACAAAAGGGCAATGGTCTTTCAACGCCTTCTCAAGAGAGGTGTTTCTGGAGAGGTTGTCGACATACAACTCGTCTCAGCCGCCAAGTACGGCGAAGAGGGTCATGAAGTGTTGCGTGTCCTGCTGGCAGCGGGTGCAGACCCCAACTACAGTAACGGCGAGGCAGTTGTGGCGGCAACCCGAAGTGCCTTTGTTGGGAGCCTTGAGTTGCTACTGGGTTTGTGGCATGAAGGTGGCAATCAGGCAAGTTTACCGAGCCGTTTGGAGAAACAATCGCTAATGTGTTTGTGTAGAAAAAAGCATCACCCCCTACTTTGGTCAGAGCCATGAAGGCAAGCTGGAAACTTAACCAAGATACCAGGCTGCGTATCGTCCAAGACCTGATGAAAGCAGGGATGCCAGCTGTGGATGAAGTCCACATCGCCTTGAGCAAGGCGGTCGGTGAAGACGAACCAGATGAACGACTTATCCAAGTCTTGCTTGACTCTGGAGCATCACCGTTTACAAACGGTTGCTTTGCCCTTACCCAAGCTGTGCAAGGCGTGAAGGTTTCAGCACTCGATCTTCTCCTGAGTAGTAAAGTCGACGAGGAGGAGATACTTAAGCTTTTCGCAAACGGATTCTCTGATACCCAGTTCAGCACATGGTTCTCCCCGAACGGTCTAGAGGTTGCAAAAATGCTTCTGGCGAAAGGAGCCAAGGGAGTGGCTGTCAGCAGTGCTCTGGTGCAGGTGATGAGGAGTAGTACATACGAGACGGAGTCATTGGCTGATGAGTTTGTTGACTTGTTTGTCGCGCATGGAGTTGATATTGACTTTGAGAATGGAGAACCTCTAATTTGCGCGGCATCAAAGGGTAATACCCATTGGACAGAAAGGCTGCTTGCTTGCAAGCCATCACCACAAACTCTCACGCTTGCTTTTGAGCGTGTGTTTGATACAGCAAGGTCACCTGATGAAGTATTGAAGCTGTTCGAACTCTTTTCGGGTTATCGAGATGGAGAAGTTGGACTGGATGTCATGGCACGGAGTGCTGGGTCGGATCCTATCCTCATCAAGGCAATTTCACAGTATCCTAGGTCGGCAGAGCTGTTGCAGACGTTGTTGGATGCTGGTTTCTATCACGACCAGACAACAACATATCGTATTCACGACAGCGTGGAGGAGCCTGAAGAGGTGACGGTGCTTGCTTGGGCAATTGCTCAGCCACAGAAGAAGGTCAGCTCAGCACTGATTAAGATGCTGATTGAACGTGGTGGTAAGTCTTTCATCGTTATTCATAGCAGACTCATCTCTAATATTTATAGCGAACGTCAACTTCGAGACAACAATTAGCCGATCCACCCCTCTTATGATCGCTATCCAAGCTCGCCGACCAGACATTGTTAAAGAACTACTTCTTGAAGGAGCGAACGCTGATATAACCGATGCCATGGGCCGCACACCTCTTGCTATGGCCACCGATATTGGTGGTGAACTGTCCACTCGCATGATGGGCAACTTACTCGCCTTTGATCAGTCGAAAGATGATGGATCACTACACAACTCCGCCAGAGAGCTCAACTTTGCAGCAGTAACAGTTCTCGTGGAACATGGCCATCATCCTGACTTCCCTAGTCCACTACACGATGGAAGATCCGCTCTGGGTGAAGTTTGTCGCCATGGAGCAGGGTCTGGTAAAATGACTGCAGATGCAGAGAAGCTTATGCAGAAGGTGATGACTTTCTTGATCGACGCTGGCTCAGACTTGACCTTGCAGTCACATGGGAAGTCTCTGCTTCTTCTTTGCTTTGACTCTGCAGATCCTATTGCTACTACTCGCAGTTTCTTGAAAGTGGCTATGTGGAAAGAAATCAACAAACCCTTCAATCATTACAGTGATGGCGAGTTCACATACTCTCCGACAATGTACGTCAGTAAGGTCATGCCTGAATCGGATACTCGAGACCAGCTTCTCAGCCTTCTTCGAGCGAACCGAGCAGTGGATGTATACTACGCCAATTCTGGGGATCAGCCTGACGATGCTGTGGGCCTCCCTAATGATATGATAGTCCAAGAACGCGAAAGAAAAGCCAGATTACGACGACTGGCACTCGAGACTGAAGACCATGCTATCGCGCTCGCGCGAGCAAAGGAAGTGGCCAGTGTAGAGAGAGAGATCTGGAATCACAAGGCAGAAATCGAGGATGCCCGCCGTCGTAGACTCCACAACGAAGACATCAATGCAACACGACAAAAGGCTGATCTTGAGGAATCGCTCTTCCACGCAGCTGTCAAAAGACGACAGCTGGAGCAGAGCAAGGTTACGCAGTCTAGCCTAGAGCGTATTCAACAAGTCGCTGCAGCTGAACTCTTAGCCGAAGAGACCAGACAACAGAAGATGATCGAGTGGGAGTCTAAATTGAACTCTGAACGAGCCGGTAATGCGCAAGCACTTAGTAGTCTACGCATCAGTGAGCGAGAGGAGTTAGAACGCATCGAGCGAGGTGCAGACGAAAGAGTCAAGAGGAGACTCGAGGCGCAGAAAAAATTGGTCGAGACACAGGAGAGATTGGCGAAGAGACTTGCTTCTGGACCTGGAGGGGGAGCAGATGCCAGGAGGCAGATTGGATTCGTGGAAGAGATTAATTAACCCTTCTGGATTCAACGTCGATATCACTGGCAGGTTAGGGGCGTTTGGTGTTTTTGTTGTCAGATACCTTGTATAGCTTATGATGAGATGATAATTTCTTTCTCTGATACTGGGAATTCTTGAATTTGAGTATGATCTGTGAGAAAAACAGTAAGAGCTTAGACTTTCTTATCCTAAAAGTTGATGAAACTACCTAAATTGAAATCATGTTAGTATAGTTCTTGCGAGAGTTAGAGCATTTTATGATAGTGGCTTGTATGAGAAACTGAACTTATCCTATTTCTCTCCCCTTGTCTCCAGCCAATTCTGCCTCTCCTGTTCCCTTTTGATTGCACATTCTGCTTCTTCTCGCCTCTGCTGCTCCCTTTCGATATGGAGTAGCCTCGAGTCCATCTTATTGTTAGTACGCTCTAATCTATTGAGAGAGTCGTGGACCATATTGTCCGTGTAGTCTATGCCCCTGACGGTGTGTCCAAGCTTGTTGACAGTAGCCTCCAATATGTCAACGGCGTCGTCGGTCCCCTCGGTTGTAGCCTCGACCTTTTTTGAGCATGGCAATGAGCTTCTAGAGCATCTCGGAAGACATCTTGGAGGCCGATGGGTAATAGAGCTGACGTATGCTGCTTGTAGTGGCTCCAGAAAGAATCTGAGAGACGAAAGGAGTGTGTGTAGAATGGGTCAGTGATAATGAAGAGGAAAAAAAAAACATCGAGAGACGGAGGACGGGTCTCCTTTACATACTCACTAACCTATGCTGCTTAAGTTTAATTCTTCCTTTGCACTGACAGTGCTACATGCAATGAAGTATATAGAATCAAGCTTCCTCATGATTTGTCGCTCACGATCAAGCTTTAAATAAAATCTACTTCGGAAGGCAGCAAGCTCAAATGACATGCACGAAAGCATAACGGGCGCTTTAACTTTGTGGCCTGACTCTCGAATACGTGTATAAAGAACACAGTCACCTTTCATGGAGTGGCCAAGGAGCATGTTCAAAGAATGAGCAAGTATCTTATTTTCAGTTGAGCCTCCGCCAACTGACATCTTGTTTGTACAAACGTAGTACCTAAACTCCACAGATAACCGTAACACGCTTTAGCAAATCCACAGCTATGATAATACACAGATACAATCCTTCCAGTGATAATCCCAAACAACAAATATCGTCAGCAAATAATAGTACAGCTCCATGTAACTTAATCCTTTCTTGCCATCTTGATAGAATCAGCACCAGTTTCAACAACGCGGAAAGCATCGGCATCGCCTTCGCCGCTTGCAGCTTTCTCGTAAGCTGCTTCACTTCTGTCGCAGAGAATATCGAGATCTGAGTCGCTGAGGACTTCTTCACCCCCTGAGGCCTTGTATACTTGTCCATCCTTCAAAAGCAGAGCGCGGAGCGACTCGGGGTCGATATCTTCGTGGAGATCCATCTTTTGTCCCATTGACTTGAAGTTACCCTTTTTGATAACCAGTTTCTCGAGCCGGCGTTTGGCGTCTGCTGAGTTGAGAAGAGTTTCCTCAACTGTGTCTTTTGTAGCAAGACGGAAGACGACAACGGGGCGGGTTTGACCAATTCGATGACAGCGATCTTGAGCTTGAAGATCTTGTTGGGGGTTAAAGTCCGAATCAAACAGAATGACGGTATCCGCAGAAGCAAGGTTGATGCCCTGACCACCTGCGCGGGTAGAGAGCAAAAAGATCTTGTACTCAGGATCGCTGTTGAAGTCAGCAATTTGAGAACGTCGACTATCCTGTGCGACAGAACCGTCGATACGACAGACTTTCCAGCCGCGGAGTTCACGGCAATAGTCTTCGAGAATGTCAAGCTGAGTTGTGAACTGCGAGAAGATGAGGACCTTGTGATCATCCTGGAATAGCCGAGGCAACAGGCGATCGAGAAGCAGCATCTTGCCGGAAGCAGTGACTATAGAGTCATCGACAGGTAGATCTGTGGAGGCAATCCATGGGTTGTAGAAATTGTGAGGTGAGTTACAGACAAGTCGCAACTGAGCCAGAGGGTTTCCTAGCTTCTTTTGAGAGATCTGCTTTTCTGTGCAATGTTAGTAGATGCTTGAAACATATACGAGGTAGACTTACTAGCAAGCTCAAATGCTTTGGCACGTTCGCGCTCCTCTGGTGTCAATGACACTTGGTCACTCAAGTCCTCATCCTCAGAAACCATCTCCTTCGCCAACTTTGCTTCAAACTCATCATCCGACATCTTCTCCTCATCTGAACCAGCGTCTTGATAGGTACGAGTTTTTCTCGGTCGTCCACGTATGCTCACTGGCGTTGACTGACGAGTCGACTTTGCGCTCTTGGGCTCTGGCTCCAACGAAGCAGGGGCAACTTTTCGTTTACCTCCAGACTTGGGTGTCACAGGCGCCTCTTCGGGCTTTGGGTTTTTACGTGGTCTGCCACGACCGCGCTTAGCCATCATGACTGAGAATGCGTTGGCGGCTGGCTCGTCTGGTTCGAGTTGCTTCTTACGCGGGGATTCACGAACGGGGAGTGTCATGGTCTTTGGTGCAGCGACACTGCTTGATCGAGATGACTTGGTGCTTGCTTCAGTCGACTCGGTGCCGTGGATCTTGGCGTAGACCTTGTCCTCTAGATACTGCCTGGTATCTATCTTTTTGTTGGTGAGGACATTGTAGAGATCTGTTTGCTCCTTTGTCATGGGAGCGAAGAGAACGTATTCTCTCTTCTTGGGGAGGTAGGCAGCTACATCCTGTTTGATGCGCCTCAGAAGCATTGGCTGGAGAATGAGATGGATCTTCTTGACAAGTTCTTGTTTCTTCTGATCAGCGATGAACTCTTCGGTGCCCTGTTCGTCTTCGAGGTCTGAGAAGTCGAACCACGACTCAAAAGCTTCCCAGTCTGTAAAGATATTGGGCAACAGAAAGTGAAGCAAGGACCAAAGCTCCTTGAGGTTGTTCTGAAGAGGTGTCCCGGTAATGAGCAGACGAGTTGCAGATGAGAACTGACGAAGCTGCTGGAACAGTTTCGCATCCGCATTTTTCATGCGGTGGCCTTCATCCTAAAGATAATGTTAACCTTGAGCAGCCTGAGATTAAGATAGTAAGATTTACGATGATGATAAACTCCCAGTTGATCTTGGACAGATTGTGCTGGTCTCTGAGAACCATTTCATAAGACGTACAAACCACGGGGAATTTCGTGGTGGGACGACCAGCCTTGAGGTGCTTCAACATTTGGGTTCTGAAGATCTTCTCACGATCATCTTTGTTGCCATGATACATGATGACTGGGATGGAGGGAGTCCATTTGTGAAACTCATCCATCCAGTTGGAGAGAGTACTCAGGGGTGCGACGATCAAGTGAGGGCCGAGATAGTTCTCCTGCTCACGAAGCAGCGCAATCAAGGCGATGGTTTGAACAGTTTTGCCTGGAATAAGTCAGTACTGGTGAGATACTCATGAACCGAGAGTCAAGCTTACCAAGACCCATCTCATCAGCTAAAATACCAGACATGCCCTGAGAGCAAATTTCGTACATCCATGTGAGACCCTCGAGCTGGTAATCTCTCATGGTACCGTTGATCATACACTTGGGTTGCTGAGCCATCTCCAAGCTATGCTCACCCAGCGTCTTGCCATCAAGGCTGCTCCCGACTCGGCCTAACACCTGGGTCTTTTTAGTAAGGATATCAGAGAAAGCGGCAGACTTTGCGAGCAAGTCGTCAAGTTCTCTAGCCTTGGCTTCACGCTCAGACTTTGTCTCCGCCTTCTTCTTTTTCTTCCGCTTCAGCATCGCCTGTCGTCGTTTCTCTTCATTCCTCTCATTTTCAGCACGTGCTTCCTGCTCCTCTTTCACAAGGGCATCATCCGCGCCATCAAGGTCGTCTTGTTGTTCCGACGGCGGCGAGCTCGGAACGCTTGTGGGTAGCCGTGAATTAGAACGAGCTGAGCTAGAGTTGCTCGGCGACTTGGGCGGCGCCATGTTAAAATGATATTATGATGATGTATAAAGAATGAGTTAACAAGAATATAAGAAGAGAAAAAACAGCGTCAGGGGTTGAGTCAAGCTCAAGGCTTGTTTAGTGGTTTCGGCGATGCGATCCGCTAGTGAGCAGAATGATGTAGTAGACTCGCCTCAAATCGGGGCGTGAAAAAAAGAAAAGGGAGGAATTTCTTAGGGGAAGCGCAGAAGGGGCCTGAAATAAAAAGGATCGAGTATTGGCAGTGATTCAAGGACAAAAAACAACAATTGATGTATCATGTATAAGCTAATCGTGTCGTTTCTCATAGACAATGTCGTTGCTGAGTCTTCTCCTTTGACAATAGAATAGACAAAGGGCGTACCGTACCGCGTAAAGCTGCAACGCGAGAAAGGGGCGATGTCACGAGTTAGCGCGTTGCAAAAAACGACAGCCACATTCTTCTGCCAACGCCACAGCAACGCCTCTTCCCCGCCAATTGGCAGCAGAATTACCCCTCCACCCCACCAAGAGAAAATATCAAGACCATCCAAGCTACGCCTTCAACATCAATTCCCGAGTGAAGCTATAACGAAGCTTCATCTCTCACTACAGCCAATCTGTTCGCCCTTCGAGCTCTCCGCCAGGCCCCCCGAAGCCTCTCACCGTTTATAACCTTCAGAATGGCATCCTTCGCTTCCCAGACTTACACCCCCACCGAGGAGGCTGAGATCCAGCAATGGCTCACTACCTCTGAGCGTCTCAAGTCCCCCGAGGACAAGTCCACCATCCTCGAGACTCTCAACAACCACCTCTCCAGCCGTTCCACCCTCCTCGGCAGCAAGCCCTCCAAGGCCGACGTCGCCATCTACGAGACCCTCGCACCCATCGTCGCCAAGTGGACTCCCGAGGAGCGAACCGGCGAGAAGGGCCATCCTCACATCGTCCGCCACGTCGACTTTGTCCAGAACTCTCCCCTGTTCGGTCTCGATGTCAAGGATGAGAACAAGGTCCAGGTTGATCGTGATAACGTTCTCTACGTGAAGCCTCCCGTTGACGCCAAGGCTGAGAAGGAGAAGAAGAAGAAGGAGGCTGCTGCTGCCGCTGGTGGTGAGGCTTCGCTTGTTGATCGTACTAAGGAGAAGGTTAAGGAGGTTGTTGAGACGGCCAAGGATAAGATTGCTACTGATAAGCCTAAGAAGGAGAAGAAAGAGAAGGCTCCTAAGCAAAAGGCTGCTCCTGCACCTGCTGCTCCTCTCTCCCCTGCCCTCATTGACCTCCGTGTCGGTCACATCCTCAAGGCTATCAACCACCCCGACGCTGACTCCCTCTACGTCTCCACCATCGCTGTCGGTGACAAGCCCGGTAACGAAGACTACGTCGAGTACGAGGGCCAAATCTGCCGAACTGTCTGCTCCGGTCTCAACGGCCTCGTCCCTCTTGAGTCCATGCAGGGCCGTAAGGTCGTTGTCGTCTGCAACCTCAAGCCCGTCAAGATGCGCGGCATCAAGTCGTGCGCTATGGTCCTCGCCGCCTCCCCCAAGATCAAGGAGGGAGAGGTCGACGACCACAAGGGCCCCGTTGAGCTCGTCACACCACCTGAGGGTGCCAAGGCCGGTGACCGTGTTTGGTTTGAGGGCTGGGAGGGTAACCCCGAGGGCGTTCTTAACCCCAAGAAGAAGATCTGGGAGACTTTCCAGCCTGGTTTCACTACCACTGATAGCCTTGAGGTTGCGTTTGATGCGGGTGTTGTTGAGCAGCTTGGTAAGACTGGACGTGGACGTCTTGTTACTGAGAGTGGTGGCGTCTGCACCGTCCCTAGCCTCAAGGATGCTGTTGTACGATAAATCCGAAGTTACAATGCATGTAGTAGTGTAGCAGAACAAAAAATATGATGGACCAATGTCAATGGCACTTTCAATGAACTAATAAATGTTTGAACATCTTGGTGTTGTATATTTGTTTTGACGTCAAGTTCATCTGACTTCTTTCCACCTCCAACACTAATGTACAGATTCTACATCCTCCTCCTCCTATGGTATACAAAGTGCAGCCAACAGCCGCCACATACTCCCTCTATCCGAATGCTTTTTTGGTTCTTCGCTATCATGAATAAAAAATCCCCATCTCTAAACGCCAAATATACAACGCCCAAATCATTTCTCCCTCTCGTGTCTGTCTTCATCATAGTGATACATTATACTAATGACCTGAGGAGGTCTTTAAGTCAGGAGAAGAAATACTGACTTTCTCGCAGTCGCTTTACGTCAAAATCACCCTGGGAGCCACGTTAGTATATGTTAAATTGCAGTGATTTTGTGGTTTTTCGACGTACCTTTTTGGGAAGATCCGGGAAGGTCAGCGGGCGCCAGAAATGCGTGACCCTCTTCCAGACCTGCTTGACATCCTTCTTGGGCTGGATAACTCGGTACTCGAAACTGGTATGCTTAAGACGCTCGAGAAGTTTGTGGCTCATCTCAGCAATCTTGTCGCTCTCAGGATCCATTTCCTTTACAGCCTCTTCAACTACCGATGAGAGATTGCCTTCCGACTCGGGAATGTGTCCGAGACCGCCAATATCCTCAGTCTCCTTCTTGATCTCGGGGTCCTCCTCCTGCGAGGCCGACATCTCCTCAAAGATGGACGCAGGTGTGACGATCTTCTTTGCTGCCTCAATGTCCCAGGGGTTGCCTGACCGGAGGAGAGTGTTACGTTTGTGTTCTAGCAATACTTCTTCCTTGTGGGTGAGCTTGCTTGTCTTGCGGAATTCCTTGATCTTCATGGCGACAGGACTCTGACTAGGGATGTTGGCCAGATATAACGAGCCCCTGTATCGAGCCTCGAATTCGGTAGCCAGACGGCCGACGACGTCCTCCTCATGGATTCGGATGAAAGCGTCTCGCAAAACTCCGCTCAGAATGTCCACATCAGCAGCATGAGTCCAGAAGGAATCGTGAACGGCAGCAAACTTCAAGCCGAGCTCATCACACTTGAGTGCCGAAAGAAGCATGTGGCTGGCATCCAGTGAATGGATGAAGTTGGGAGGGAATCCCTGAAGCTGCTTTCTGCGATCGACGGGCTCCGTCTGACCCTGCGTGGGATAACTGATGGACTGCAGACAAGTGCGAATCTCTCTTGTAAGAGACTTGCGGTAAGGCTGCACAACAGGCATTCTCAGGGGTGTAGTCCACACGACTGTAGATCGAAACTGTGAAGTCAACTCATCCAATTCCTTGTTCTTGCCCGCGACAGTCTTCCTCACGGCAGGCTTGTTGTCTTTCTCCTCCTGTAGCTGATCGAGCTGAGCCGGTGTCAGGGCCTTGCAGACACGCGCGCCAATCTCACCAAGCCAATATTGAATATCGTGAGCACCTCGGAACATGGTTCCAAGAGCATTGAAGATGTGCTGCGCGATATACGTGGCGGTCACGAGATTGGGGATGCCAGTCTCTTTGAACATCTCTGGGTAGAGGGCATCCAACTGTTTGCAAACTTGTTGCTTGGCACCGGCAAATGTGACACCATAAACGTTGGTCATGACAGTTTGCTTCACTACCTTTCTGGTGATCTTACCCAGACAGTTCTTTCCAAGCTGATTGCCTGCGTTGGCGTCTTTCTCAATCGACTCCTTGACGAGGTTGGCAACAGCTGAGTATACATCGGCAGGTCGGCTGCCTGGCATGAGGTTGACCTGCTGAGCACCCCAGGTATCACCACCAAGGGCTGCGTAATGCTGGAGACCGTTGCAGGTACCATCCTGATGCACTGGCAGGTTGGAGACGAATTCGGTAGGATCAGGGAGATCATAGGCAGCCTTCAGCTCAAAACAAGTAGCCAAGCATTGCCAAGGATCTTCAGCCTTCAACCACCATCGACTACCATGCAGGGGGTTCTCGACACTCTCGGTGATGTTGGCAAGGTTGTCAGTGGCGAATGCCTCTCGCTCATCGAAAGAGGCCTTATCGAAACCGTACACGTTGGCAAGGTGGATCTTGAGCCATCGGAGACCTTGCTCACCAAGCCTCTTACCCTCGGCGAATTTCAGGAGAGCACGTGTGTGATCAGCTCCCATATGGTTCAGGTATGTTGGGATAGGATAGGCACGGCCGCGATAGTCCATATTGTGAGGGAAGTAAATGACTTGCTTGCGGAATGCGCGAGCAATCTCTAATTGCAAGTTCATGTAGCATCGTTGCGAATGAAGGGCAGAACGCTCGTTCTCGACCTGCTTGACGGATCGAATCCAAGCCCGGCGAAGGAGAGGATCTGAGTTTGTGGGCTCCGCTGGCATGGCAAGGTCGGGTGTGAGCGTTGGCATATTGGCGATAGCATCACCACTGTTCCAGGCCTCGATCATCACGTCAAGAACAGAGTTGTTGACCCTCCACGGTGTCTTTCCCAATACATCCAAGCCCTTGAAGACTTGGTCCATGTCGCCACGCTTGATAGCCGCATTAGCGTAGAGCTTTTGCTCAACGTCTCCTGACTTGACACGAATCAAGGAGGCTTTGCTAACTAAGAAGCCTCCTTCATTGATACGCGTCCACGATCGAGGTTCGGCAATCATAGGGAGGTGCTTAGCAAGAAAATCACCCATGGGTTCCCGTTTCAAGCGTTCGACAAGCTCTGGGTTGATGGTTAGCATTCCAACCTTCTTGCCCTTCTTGGGAGCTTGCATGTGAGAAAAGGCAGGCTGGAGTTGGCTGATTCGTTCCTTTGAGATAGGGTGTTCCTTCACAACATTGATCTTGGCCGTCTCGATGAGAGATTTCAAGAGAATTGATCCAACGCGGGCCCTCACTTGGACAGACCAGGATGATAGCACGGGATCTTTCGCCCCGGTCGGCTGATGGGCATCAGTGATGATCTTTTGCCGAGCCGGCGCATTCGTCTCTGTAGACGCGTTCGCCTCCGTCGACTCATTTACCTCCGTAGAAGCATTCACTTCCGTCGACTCCTTCGCCTCTATCGGTTCAGTTGCCTCCGCCGACTCATTCGATTCAGCTGCTTGAGCATCTTCTTCCTTTGCTATAAACTGGACCTTGCGGAGCCGGCGACGTTCCTTTGCGGCCCTTTCCTTGAACTGAGTCTGGATGTCATCCTGGGCTACTCGAGAAACGTCGTTGAGGAGGCGTTGAATGACTACACCCTTATCAACACCCTGCAATGCACTGGTGTTGAGTAAAGTGAGAATAGTCACTGCAGCCAGTCGAGTAGGGTCTGCCATTCGAAGGATAGGACCGTAGATGCAGCGCTCGAGATCTTCTTCAGACTTAATTTCCTTATCTTCAGATTCCTCAACCTTGATGATCTCCTGTTTTAAACGAGCCTCCATGGCTTCAAGCCAGCGGTGCATGCAATCGGAAAGAGTCTTGTCCTCGGCCTTGTTGTTCAGAGCCGTGTTTATACCCAATTTATCCATCTTCTTCTTTGCGTTTCGCCATTTCTCAATAGCGGTATCGATGGAGTCCTTTTCTAAACGCATTTGGAATTCGCGCTGCTCAAGGGGATCCAGCTTGGAGATATCGACATTTTGGAGCTCGGCCATGAGGTTTAAATTTCGTCGTAAAGCGTTCAAACCCTCTCCTCGTTGGGGTGTCGGACGGACCTCAGGATAATCTTCATTCGCGAACGCCGCCATCTCCTCATCAAGATCCTCCTCCAGCTCAAGTCCCTCCTCCTCATTTGCCAGAGTAACGTAGCTGGCTTCCTCAGATTCGGGAGCGAAGCTGTAAGTAGGGCAGATTTCGGTGATAACACCAAGGTCTTGGTCGCTGAGAATATCGGCCATGTTCAACACTCGCAGACCAGCCTCTCCGGGAGCCATGCTCATGTAACGGTTGATGAGTCGTTCCAAACGGGCTCCACGTTCCGAAATCAGTGAAGCCTTGAGCATGCATGCGATTGTCTCTGCGGTTTGTGGTACATTTTGGTTCCTTATTTGCAGCTCGTACCACTTGTGAAGTCGCTCGGCTTGCTTCCGGTCGGGACTCGTTCGAAGCTGGTCGAGGGATGCGCGGAGGTATTGGTTGTGCAAAATGATCATTTCTTCACCAGGAAGCAAACCAGTCAAGTTCAGTCGCTTCAGAACGAGAGATGCTCGCTCAAGCTTGCCCACGCGAACACAAGCATCAAAAACTGGAATCATCTCTTCAATTTCACCAGGAACACCCTTGTTGTTGATCTTGCCGAATTGTCGAGGTGCTGTTGGCTCTGGAATTGTCAACAGAGATGTCGGGTCGAGGGAACGAAGTTCGGAGTAGGAAGGCGGGGGAGCTTGGAAAGGCTGTAGGCCAGAGCTAGCAAGCTGGTTGTGTAAAGCACCAAGACTATGACCAAAGTTGTAATCATCGACAGCGGTCGCAAGACTTCTGCCATGCTTGAGGCCAGGGCCCGACTCTGAGCCTCGGCGCTTGCGGGGTTGGTATGGCTGAGAAACAACACATCTTCGCCCCAGGTTCGTTGCTGTGATGTGTGATGGTATAGATCTCGAAGGAAGCCCAATTGATCGGAGAGCAGTGCTCTTGTGAAGAGCGAGGCTCCTCCTCGTTTGTCGAACGAACATTGTGGTGATTTGATGGAAGTCGTCGGAAGAGTGGTGGTTATGAGGGGGCGAAATAGCCCAGCGGCGAGAAGCTCAACAGAGAATAGCTGCTGAGTTGATGGAATATTATAACATTAGGCAGGAAATAAATAGCACGAGATAATGAATTCGACTCGTAGACAAGACAAGTACAAGAAGGAGTGTCGCAACAATTGTTGATGGACAAGTCTTGTCTTGTCGCTGCTGTCGCGTGAAGCAGATACTTAGAGTCCTCTCCAAATTTTTCAGCATCGAAAGGATTGGACGGTGAAACTGAGAAACACTAGAGAGGTCACGTGTGGAACAAATCGTGGCAATGGAAAACAGGGGACTTCTTTGTAGACCCACTTGAAATTCGAGAAGACTGTAGAGATGAAAGTGGGTGCACTAGACTTCCAATAGAAAGGCATTGAAGAAATATTAGAAATATCATTATTAAATGTTTATGCAAATCATATTGATCTCCAGGGCCCTGACGGAGCTTATAGTCTATTATGGTCCTAAAAGGTTCTGTCTGCTCTCTGTTGTACACTCCAGGGTGCAGATTTTATTCTATGGAACCCACCTCAGCCGATCGATAGCTGTAAACCGTTCTTCTCCACTTCACAACTGGACGTACCAAATTCAGCCATGACGCTCTACACTTCTTTAGCTCCGTGACTCTGATTTTCTTATCTTGCATCTCAATCACGAGATCAAATTCAAGATGCTCACTCGACCTGTGGCTGCGACATTGAGTTGCCGTCAATGCCAATCAGCCATTGTTCGTGCCGTTGTATCGAGACCAGCTACAAGCTGTTTTCGCAGCTTGCCACAGACCACTTCACGACGTCTTCCTCTAGCGACGAGGTTCTACTCGGATGTTAAAACTAACGATCCAATAGTCGAAAAAGAGTCTTCGAGTCCGATTCCTCCCAGCGATGTTCTCAATTCGAAACCCGAAGCCACAGAAGAGGTCGAAGAACCTGAAGATGTTCCTTGGTTTCTCGAAGTTGAACCCCCGCGACATCCCGAGAATCAACATGCCGTCGAATTACCAAAGATACCCGAGGGTGCACCAGAAGTCCTGAAACCAATGGTGAAATACATATTTGAGGACATGGGATTAGACGAGATTTCTATGCTGGATATGCGCGACCTTGACCCTCCGGCTGCTCTTGGTCCGAACTTGATCATGCTTTTTGCGACAGCTCGAAGTGAACGACATCTTCACATTTCATCCGGTCGCTTTGTACGATGGCTTCGAAAAAATCACAACATTTCTGCAAGAGCCGATGGCTTGATTGGACCTGGTGAACTAAGGACGAAACTGCGCCGACTTCGAAAGAAGGCCAAGTTGATGGGTACTAACACTGCTATTATTCCTGGTGGTGACAATGGTATCTCGACAGGATGGGTCTGCGTCAACTTTTCTTCCAACGGCGACACCATCAACGAAGCTGCCAAGGTGGATGATACCGGCCGCTTCTCTGGCTTCGGTGCTCCTCAAACAGGCACCACAGTAGTTATTCAATGTATGACAGAATCCCGGCGTGCAGAGCTTGACCTCGAGAGTCTGTGGCAGACTGTTCTAAAGAAGAGTTTGCGAGAAAACAAGCAAGCTCGTGGTGAGAAGATCAATAGCCCTGAGGAGCTTGATGAACTTCTGGCCACCAAAGTCCAGCTCCCCAAGTCAGAATCTGCTCAACAATGGCAGGCTCTACAGAAAGCGTCCCAACAACGACGCACCTACACCACGAGCGCCCGACGGCTTTCACCAGAGCTTCCACGTGCTGATCACACTTCGCCCGTCATATCAGACGAGCTCGTTGACCTGCACGAGCAATCAGCACAGAGCACCCCTGATCTGGAGCACATCCGTAAGCGCTTTGAGCACATTCAGCTGGTTGGGTTACCACTTAGCCAGAGCGAAATATATCAATTCATCCGCGATGCTATGACAGCGCCCTCAGTCGAACCTGCTTCCGGATCACGACTTACTTTTGTCGACCAGATCCTCTTGACGGCTGAGGAGCGAGGCATGATCATCTGGACCGATGAGATGTTCTTCACGCTTATCGAGGGAGGTCTATCATCACCGTCGTTCGGACAACCTCAGCTTGAGCGAGCTCAGAAGAACCTCGAAACACTCATGGTGCAGAAGGACTGTCGATTCAACAACACTCAAACGAGCAGTTTGCTGTCAGCCTACGCAAAACGAGAGGACTGGCCCCGATTCTGGGATACTTTCCGCAGACCATCTCTCTTCAAGAAACCCAGGAGCTCAACTGTCTACATAGCGGTTTACATGGCTATGGCGCGTACTGGCAACCAGGTCTTTTGCATCGAGAACCTACGCTGGGTGTATGATGAAATGATTAACGAGCCGAAGCCCCTACCCATGTTTGGCGCACTGTACGGATCGCTCAAGGCGTGTATCAGGGTCGCTGATCCGGCGGCTGCAAAGCTTTTGGGTATCGATGCTGGTGATCTTGGAAAACAGTCGCATTATGGCAAGCAGAGATTGGCGAACAGAGAGTATCTCAAGATGCTCAAGGAGGTTGAGGCTCTCCATACTGAGACTTCTGGGTACTTTGCTAGACAGAGAATGTATCAAGGCATGGATGTCCTTAAGGAATCGGACTTGTCTCAGGAACAATAGTTTCACGAATAAGCGTTGGAAAAGCATAGTCTGGGTCGGTGTCTTGTGTATAACAACTCATATGTAACAATATCTGATGCATCTAAGAATATGATTTCTCTGTCAAAGTCTCAAGTAAGAACTTCACGACTTGTAATGATACACCCTCTTCCACAGTGACGTATCGCTCCCCATCCATGCAGTTATATCTTGGGACTCTGCAGCCCTTGCAGTCAACTCTTCTTAAGAGCCTCCCTCAACAAAGGCGCCACCTGCTTTCTACTAGCAGCAAGTTCCTTCTGCCTCCAGGCAAACCTCTTATGGCCATGATGATCCAGCTCTCCCTCCTTCCACGTCTCTAACTTCAACTTATCGCCAGCTTGCACAAACCTATCCACCGCCTCACGACCCTGATCGGTAACACCCCAAACAAGTAGATGGCGTTGGAACTCCCCGTTGGGATGGGACGTGGTCATTATGCTGGCCACATCAAGTTCGCGCTCCTTCGCCCAGTCTTCAAAGGCATCGATCAGTGGCTCTGAAGCACCGGCTTTGTCAACGAGGTAGTTGAAGTCTTGTACGACGCAGCTTATTCCAAGTTTTAGGCCTGAGCCATCCCATTCTTTGTAGTCCTTGCGCAGAATGTCGCGGAAGCTCAAGTCAGAAATGTCCTCCTTTACAGCGGAGATCTCGTCAAAGTAGGCTGTGCGGTTGAAGGACTTGTCGTGAATACGCCCCTCGAGGAATTCTACCGCCTTCAAATCCTTCTCTCGAACCTTTTCCTTAGCCGTGAGGTTTATCGTGTCGGAAATAATAGGAGCAAACGCAAGTCTGGTAAGCTTGTCGTTTTCCGTAGCCGCATCACTATCCTCAGCATCCTGGCTCGAAATCTCCTCCCAAATCTTCCTCGTCTCATCTACCACCAAGCTCATACAACTTCCACAAGGTTCAACGACTCTTGGGTCTGCATCTTTGCTAATGACGTTCTCATCGGCATGGTGATCAACACAACCAGTAACACGGTCCGAAAACTTCTTAAGTGGACCAGTGAGGGAGTTGTGATCAACCAACAACCAGTGTGTTTCTTCTGGCTTCAAGTCTGGAAGCTCAGATAGAGTTAGGAGATCTTTGAGAGTGAGTCCAGCATGTTTGAGAACTGCCGACATCTCGGTGCGAAGAGCGAGGTCATCGCGGGGCAGGTTTGAGAGGGGAATGTGTAGGGTATGAGGGGGGGTATGAGTGCGCATATAAGCGTAGACAAGAGCTGAGCAGAGAGAATCAAGATCTGTTATTGTTAGTTAAGGCCTTTTCAGATATGATACTTGACTTACCTGCAGACTCATTTCCTACAACAAAAGTAAGAGGTCCCTTTCGTTGCGCCGCAGGAGCTGTCAAAGCAGCTTTCGCCTTGGCCAAAAAGCCGCCCAAAGACAATCTCGAAGCCATATTGAGTTGAATTGCGATGACCGATGCAAAAACGAGAAGAAAGAACAAAAATGCGCAAAAGAAGAAAATAAGCCACCTATTCGTTAAAAAAACAAAACTCACAAGAGTCCCTGCATGTGTTTTATGTAAGTTGTAAGTCAAAGCTTAAACGGTCAAGACGTCACCAAGACAATTTTGCAGGGAATATCGGCCACAAACTGTCACTTGATGAGCCCGCCCCATCCTTACAGTTGGGTAAGAATCAACGATTTTGCAGTAGCTGTGCTTACAGAAGGATGAGAAAGCTATAGCATTAGTTGTATACATGCATTTCTCTGCATTCATCCAGTCTTTGGGCATTATTTTATCATTGCAATGAAAATGGCTTGCACGACGTAACTCCATGCGTGACATTCATATGCAAGGTGCCCTGCTGATGCCAATCAGCCCTACATTAACTTTGTTATTTATCCCTTGTAATTAACAGGCCTATACCTCCCTAACATAGTAATTCTCACTCTGTTGAACAAGTATTGAAAACATGAAAGCACTAGGTACATAACATGTATCTTCTAATCTCAACAATTTGTTTGAGATGACTGCTATCATATTATTAGAGTCTTGGGAAGTCAATAAATATATTGGCTTATAGAGGTTCTTGCATAGGTAGTTATATACAACCACAAATTCATGAATGACTTCCACGTGAAAAGACAATCTTTCCATGTGAATCTATACCCCTTACAATACTATTTCCAAGAGCCTAAAGTTCCCATCGTAGACCGCCTGTAACGTTACCAAGTACTTTCTACCTCCAACTACCGACTTCTCACCGCCTCCCTATTTGGTAGTATAACATCATTGTCTCCAATTCTGCCCGCTTATCTCGCCTCATGTCCACCCCGCTATCGGTCCCGCCGTTACACGAGCAGGAAGGGTCCATCTCCAGACGGGCCTTGCAGCCTGCGCCCTGGCCGTTTTCGCAAGAGTCATATTTCCATTCCAACTCGAACTTCCTGACCCTGTAAATATTCTCTCCTTACATCAAACCCTGCCCAAAATGTCTCCTCTTCGTCTCGCCATCCTCGAAGCTGACACCCCTCAGCCCCAAACTCGCGATCGCTTCGGTGGCTACACGGGTGTCTTTACCGCACTCCTGCAAGAAGCTGCAAAGCCTCAGAAGCTCGAAGATCTTGTTACTATCAAGGGCTACGATGTCGTGAACGAATTGCACTCTTATCCATCCCTCGACGAAATCGATGCGGTTCTCATCACTGGTTCTCGACACACAGCATTTGATAACGACCCCTGGATCATCGAGCTTGTCGAATTCACAAAGAAAGCCATCGATACGAATCGCATCCGAGTGGTAGGCGTATGTTTCGGCCATCAGATCGTCGGACGGGCTGAGGGCGCCAAGTTGGGACGGAGCAATAAGGGATGGGAGGTTGCAGTCACAGAAGTTGATCTGACGGACAAGGGCAAGGAGATTTTCGGGTTGGACAAGATGGTGAGACCCGTTTGTTGCGCACGTTATTGTGCGACTGTTTTACTGACCTTGTTACACAGCGTATTCATCAAATGCATCGCGACATTGTGGATGAGTTCCCCAAGGGTTCAATTCCTCTTGGTTCCAATGACATCTGCGAAGTGCAGGGTTTCTACTCGCCTGGACGATATCTTACAGTTCAAGGACATCCCGAGTTCACCAACGAGATTATCTCGGAGATTCTCTTCAACCGTCATACGGTCGGCGTCTTCACGGATGAAGTGTATAACGAAGCTATGAAACGCGCGCCACTTCCTCATGACGGTGTTGCTATTGCTAAGGCTTTCCTCAAGTTCTACCGAGAGGGATAGAGAAGGGAAAACAATACTGGAATATGGATGGAAGAGTTGACACGATTGTCAACTTTCTGTGCGCAGCTAGAATTGTAAGAGGAGAAATCGCGATTGAGCGTTCTAATTGCACATTATACCAAATGGCGCAATGCATAGATCTGTCTTGCTAGAGTAACGAGATCAAATGACTTTAGAGTATCATTCGAAATGAAGAAATACAAATACAAATGCCTTTTAAATGCTGCCATTTTCTCCATCTAATCTAACAGGTTTGACATGAACACCAGATAACTACCCAATGCATCCCAAAGGCACAACGCCGTCTAATGCAGGTTCATGATGCCCTGTCATGAGATATCTATACTTATGAATCCTGGGTATCATCCTCCGCACGCTCCCCAAGCTTTCGAGTTTTGCCATGCAGACCTTATTTACTTACACCATAAAATTCCTCATTAATCATCGGCATCCCACCACTGAGGGACTGCCCTTGCTGCTCTACGGGCCTCTTGGCCAGCCTGACGATCCATTTCCCACTCATCTTGTTCTTGTTGTCGTCTCTTTTTTGCGAATCGTGAATCGAGTGTCATTTCCTCTCTTGTGCGTCCGACTCTTGCACCCACATCGGGTATTTCCTGTCTTCGTTTCCAAAATTGCACGTTGATGCGTTTGAAAGCCTGGCTATGCCTCCAGGGCTTCTCTTTCAGAGAGAAGACCACGGCATCAGCCAGACCATGGAAACACAAAAATATGATACTGGCCAGTCTCATGGCATAGGGAGCTCCTCGTCCATACCCTGTAAGTTGTACGATGAAAGGCAGAATCCAAATGGCGACGTAGACTATTGGATATATGAACAGTAACCGGAGTTGTCGCAAGATCTTCTCACGTGACTTGACAGTACCAGGTGCGTTGAAACCGCTCTGAGTCAAGACAAGGTTGGTGTCGTTGCTGCGTGGACTGTCTGGTGTGCGACGGAGTATGGCAAAAAGATTAGGTATGGATGGTGGCCTAGAGGGAGTGTTTGAGCCATCAGACCGATGAAAGAAGTCGGTCTGTATAGTATACGACGGTGAGGCAATATCTGGGAGAGGTGTTTGATGGACAGGCTCAGGCTTTGTATGGGTGGCCAAAGGGGCAATCACATCATCTGAACCACAGCGAGTTGTTCCCGATGAATTCTGGGATTCGACTTCTGCCTGTTCGGACTGAGATGCCAGATCGGTACCAAAGTTAGCCATCCACATTTGAGTCGATCCTCTTCGCGCCAGTCGTGCCGAATGAAGTCTGTTGGGATGCGAAGATCCAGACATGTCCAAATGGAAAGAGTTGAATGCCACGAGTGGTGGTCTTGCGGTCCGATCTTCGAGTAAAGTAAGAGAATTGCGCCGCGAAGGGTTGGAAGAAGGAATTAGGCCATGATATTTTATCGTAGGAGTCGGTGGTACAGTGGTGATTCCTTGTTGCAAGGGATCGAGACTTTCGAGACCGGACACTTTGGAAAGGGTATTCTTCGAACTCTCATTCCCGGAGCCGAATCGTCTCATCAATACTCGAACGTAGACGTATACGCCTATACATAGGCAAAGAATAACAGTAAAAGCCATGTAGCGAGGAATCCAAGAGAGCGCCAGTCTCTTCCACATCGGGTTGAACGGTAGATAGCAAAACTGGCCAGTGTTAATGTAGCCGGGGCTTTCGATAAATGCCAATGAAGCCATCACAACAGGTACGATAGCAGCAAGAGCGTAAGCCGCCTTTCGATATGGGTAGAGGCCTTGCTCTCCACGAAAGATGTACAATGCAGTATGTACTGAGATGAGAGCGACAGAAACATCAGAGGCCTCTATACTGAGAGCAAGGAAGAATCCGCTGACTTGACAGAAGGTCTCAGTCGTTTCGATTTTCCCAGCGACAAGTTCCACGGCAGGGAAGACGAGTAACCAGAAACTCTTGAACATATCACTATAAATGAGTAACATGATGAGGCTTTTCAAGGGTCAGCAACAGAGTGTGAAGGAAGAGACACGAAACTCACTCATGGCGGAAACTCCGCCTCATTCGAAAGAACCAGAACGAAGTTATTATTGTTGCAAGTATACTCATCGATGCGACGGTGAGAGTCGCAACATGAATAACGTATGTCTGATGGGGAGTAAGAGCAGCCATGGTGAACTGCTTCACTCGACGTGGCCCGAGGCTGTGAGCCGTCGCTGAGTCTGTCCATGGCGAAAAGCCCAGGGCACTGCCTTCTTGAAGCCAGGGAGGCATGGTGGAGATGATGGCGGGAAGTGGATGAGAATCGTCGATCCCTTCAAATCGGTAGGTATGTGTCAGAGATGCGGATCGTTGCTTGTCGTTAGACTGTCGATGTCTTAGTATCGATATATTAAGAAGCGAGCTGTGGTGACCAACTGGAATCGACTGGTGACACTGGTGACAATAGCATCGCGATATAGTCAACTTCGAGGTTGGAGACCAGGGAAGTCGACCCCTGCAACAAGGGAGGAGAAATCGAGGATTTAGGTTCTTATGAACCAAATGCTCTTCAAAGCCAAGGAAAGCCAAAGCGGTCACCCGAAACTCTGAAAACCCCAAAGAGAAACAAAAGAGAAGAGGCGTGTGCTGAATGATGACCGAGATGTTTGCCGCGTGGGAGACCCGTAGGCGAATTATCTCAGGCTGAATCCCGTCTTTGGTCTCAAGCCCACAACAATTTGACTTTGATCTCCGTTCCTGTCACTGAGGTATGTATGGATGAATTGATGACCAACCGAACCTCGGGATTGGGGTCAAGCCCGGAATGGGGAACTTTTGTCGTTTTCTTTACGGGATCTCTTTATGATCGGCCATGAAAAAGATGACCGTGTCAGGATAATACCCCTTGTTGGACCTTATGTGGTTGTGAAATCTAAAACTGATGACAATGTTCCCGTGAGTAGATGTGTAAGTGCTTGGCTTAGAAGCACTTACTAGATCGAGAAATCTTATTGCCCTATTCTGGTCTGGGGAGGAAGGTGCAGGGGCAGTGATGTCCGGAGGTGGAAAGGCGCAACCAAGTTGAGGCAAGTACTACAACAACCGAGAGACTTCCTCTGGTGTTGGTAGGATCTTGAGTTTGAGAGGGCGTCGCCAAACTCTCCACTAACAACCAAAGAAGAATTGACTCGATTGATCCGACACGAATTTGATGCTGCTTCTCCGGCACTTGCTGAGCCACGACTCACGATACAATCGCTTAAAGAATTGTTGAGGGATGCCAAAACCAAAGTGGGATAAATCAGAGACATGAGGGCAGTAATGTAGTGGACGAATGTGCGTTTCCAGGACGAGATTATATTCATTCCACACGCCCAGAGTTCGACAGTACAATGATTCAATGACTGAGATCGCGGGAAGAAGAGCAGAAAAACATGATCGATTACAGCATTACACCGAGTATATAACGATAGCGTACTGGTACCTGTACCGTCTGGACCGAAGCGGATACAACACTATACCCAGTCGACGATATTTTCATCGCCCACACCGCAGTGAACACTCTCCCATTTTGAGCTCAACTCAAAGTGACAGCTGGGCTTGCAAACCTCTCTTTTTAGGTGCACGCTACGTAAGGGAGACGAGAAGCGATACCATTCACGTCCACCTCCGCGTGCCACGCCCGTCATCTGTCTCTGGGGCTAACCAAATCTCGCAATCCTCTTGCGATGTGACTGGGCGAGACCAACAGTAACCCTGTCAGGTTTTTGAGCCGCGAGCGAGACGATCTCTATAGCGGCCAATCAAGAGGGTGATCTGCCCTCCCGATCCGCACCTCGGGCGTCCAGCTTGCGAATGAGTGGGAGGAGCGGGTGTCGAGACTCAAATTGAGGGCCCGGCAAATGTGGATCAGCATGCATGTCACCTTTTGATGGTGGTGGCAGCGGGATCAGGCAAGACAAAGTCTGTTTCCTGTTCCTGGATATTTACTGGACTGAAAAGCGAAGAGCTCTACAAGAAATGGATGTTCTGCTTCCTGAACATGACGAATAAGGAAGCAAGGTGTGAGCCAAAGCATAAACATTTTTTTTGGCGATAGAGGTCACACTCCATTGATCCCTCTATCCTTGTTCAACTCAGCTCGGCCCCTGGAACCCATCCCGCATCCCCGATTTTCTAGCCATTGTTACCTCCGCATTTCATCCAAGATCGCTCCCGGGTTCTTGGCCATGAAGATCTCACACGATCAACAGGACCAAGGCTCGTGCCGAGATATTCGGTCTTGGCGTTGGTGCAATAGCAGACAAAGGACCAACAACCAATGTGATCCGCTGTCTCTCTCACTCAGTGCAGCTTCCGTATTTCTCCTGCGCGCTGTTGTCTGTATCCGTCTTTCTCCAAATCATTATGGCTGACAGACGAGCTCGCAAACGACTAGCCAACAACCGGGACCTGGCCGTTTCTAGGCCAGGGACCAACACGCCTGTTCCTGGACATGATTCAGGGTTGCCCAACTAAGACACTAGAGCACTTGTCAAGATCAATGCGACCTGAGTTCCTGACAAACATTTGAGAAACTTTTTACATGATTCTCTCTCTACGTCGGGCATCTCGGTCACCAAGAAGGGCCGAAAAGTTTTCATAGATTCGCCTAGCTCACGTTTGCCACGAGACTGGTGCTGAATCCGTGACGCCGTCCTTTTCTTTTTTCATTTGTGAGGGTCCAAGCCACAGACACCGCACTGAAGCTCAGGAAGCTCTCATAGACGATGTTTATTTATCGGTCGTCGTTTTCGCCTTGAACAGCTAATTTATGAATCATCATGTTCGAGAATTCGAGGCATCCTGTCCACCTACTCATAGTTGCGTAACAATGATCCGACATTTGCTCTCAGTCTGCTGGCGGAAGTATTCTGGATCAACACACGTATTGCATTCCAGTCATCGACTTGGCTTTACGGCGAACGATATCGGTTTAACCTTAACAACAAAGATTCTACAGGCTTTTCTATTATTCTACGGTAAAAATTCTGCTGCTCGCGACTATTCGGAGTTTGATACACTCCGCTCACGTTCCGCGGAGGCTTCGCTTAAGCAAAGTTTGTCGATCAAATATGTTCTTCACCGCGGCTTACAGTGACGATACCATTGTTCCCTTTTACAAGATCAATGAAAATGATTAAAATTATGAAATCTATTATGATATAACGGTTTCGACGCGCTGACGTGGGCCATTGCTCCGTCGACTTCTGTTGATGTTGAGACCTGGGTAGCTGTGGTTCGAAACTACCAGGACAACACCGAACGAACAGAGATCGATTCAAGCTCATGACAAGCCGATGGTGACTTCGACTTGCTCATCAGGATTTCACGTGAAATCGGGATCTTGTTCGTTCTGCCATAGGAATGAGCTGGCTGCTAAGCGCCTAAGCAGTTTAGTAATAACTCGACCGCGTGCCTGAGCAGTTCTTGAACACTAATTAGTCGAAAGTCTAGAATCCTTATATTCTCAAGAGTGGATCTCTGCTCTCATACAAAGCATTGGCCACCTAGTCTGTATGTGGATATCGCCTTGTCTGGCTGTCTGGCACGCATGATCCATGCGTAGTGACATGACTACTATTTCCAAGACAAGCTGTTTGCGATTCGGAGATATTTCTAACTCTCCATTGGTCACATCCCCTTACTATCGTTGGTTCGGATACAACAGTTCAATCTTTTGACGGGTATCCACGTGGTGAGACTGTCTTCCGAGATATCTTATAGGTCTGCTCGTAAACAGCTTCCGAGTTCCATAGCAAGGCTATATCTGTGGCAGGTCGCGATCAGTCATGTCATTCACGTCGATCGAAGGGAATCTCGCTTCTTGACTTGAAACGAACATGCGTACCAACAATCCGCTGCATTAGCAAAGTTCATACGAGGTCTGTTTGGTGTGCAAGATGAGTTTACTATGGTAAGCCGAAGTTTGACTGAGCAAAAAGATGGGAACCAGCTGATGGTCTTTCATAGTGTGGAGTTGATCAAGCTGTTTTTTTTTTCTATTGTTGTGTACTAACCAATGTTCACAAGACTTCCCAACCTGTTCATTCGTCCATTCATTCAAAACATGAAGACTCTGTATCCGTCCAAAGAAATGTCAGCCTTCCCTTGCAACATGAAATTCCACCACAAAAGAAACCAAAGCATGTCTATCATAGCGCCCTCAAAAACGCGATGGTTGTCATGAACTCTCTTCTCTACCACTCTTCACACTTCGTCAGGTCTTCGACGTTTCCGGAGTTTGTTGGGAGTACGCCTCGATGATGGGGGTGGCTTCCTGATTCCTGGATATCGCCAAGTTTGAGGAGGGACCGCCTGTTCAGTAGGTGAATTTCGAGCGTCAGAAATGACCGATATTATATCGAGAGCTCCTCTGAATTTCCGGTCTTTTTGGTGACGTCTCATCTTCGTCAGTTTCCTAGGCTTGTGGTCGGGTACTCGTTCATGTTTGTAATGGTGATTCGAAAATAGGGGTGGAAGACACTCCTCGACAGGCGGCGTGTCGCAGCCTTGATTGAAATTCCGGACAAGTATGATTTTGGTTGGTTCATACGTTGTTGAGACGTCTGAAACGAGTTGTCGTTGCTGGCCTTGCTCTGTCTGAGTCGCCCTCTGCCTGGCGAGAGGAAATTCTGCCCCTGACGCTACTAATGATGCGTAGCTATCATTTACCATATTCCCTTCGATCTCACATATCGGTGAACCCATGACGACTTTTAGAGGATGATGGTTTTCAAAGGATTATGACTTTCTGAGGATGATGAATTGTGTCTTCCATCTCGGACGGGTTCCTCCGCGGCAGTTATTCTCTCACCAGTTTGGCTGGTTACTTGTGGGTGGGCAAAGGCTTCCTGTTTGGGACTGTTCCCATTACATGGACGTACAGTTCTTGTTGAGTCGATTCTCTATGCAGGTCGAGAATTCCTTTGTCTTTGTTGTCACGGGAGTTTTCATCTTTAATAGCTGGACCATTCTCAGGGCGTTGACCTTGCTTGTTCTGTGGATGTTCGTGGACTGTTCGGGAGTTATTCCTTCTTGGCCGCTCCCTAATGTCCGGGAAGTCATCAATTATTCGTGTCTCATCGGTAGCTGAGTCTGGAAGCATGTTCGGGTTGTGTTCGTATTCATGATGTTCTTCGTGTCGGTGTTCCTGTTTGTGGCCCTGTTCGGATTCTACTTCGTCTGGTTTCTTTACCCAGTCTGGACAGGATGGGTCCTCCCAGAAACGGTGTGCAAGGTACAGAAATAGAAAAACTGGGATGAAAAGCAAAAGGAACAGCCATAGAAGTCTTCGGTCCGAGTCGTGCTCTTCGGGTCTCGTAAGGGGTGCATCAGGAGCCTCTGATGACAAAGTCGTTATGGCAGAGGTAATTGTTGCAATGGCTGTTTCCGTAGTGAACGAAGTGATGAAGCTGGAGATGATGGTCGCCAGTGCAGTAGTTGAACTCGCACACAGACTGGCTGAAGAGGCACCTAGTCCTGGATCGAAGACAGAAGAAGTAGGTCCCGGCATATATTCAGGACCTCCATCAAGAAAGTCCTGCGCAATCTCAACCTTGTCACTCAACTTCGCCGCTCTCAGATCTCCCTGAGGGCAAACACCACGAAGACAAGGATCCACAGCACAACATCCCAGAAAAGGAAGTGCATTTCCAGCGCAGGTGTACCAACTAACATCGACGTTGTCATTAATACAAGCCTGAGGGAGGAACTCGTGCTGTAGTGTCGCGTTGAAGCTGGCTGCTCTGAGATTCTGATCGGGACAGAGACCTTTTCTGGCGCCGCAGGGGTTGATGGTGCAGCAGCCGATGAAGTGGTCTGGATCGTTGGGGCAGATGTAGAAGAATCCGCCGTAGGGACAGGTGAGACCTAGATCCTTTACTGGGTTGTAATCGGACATAGTTGTAGTTGAAGTTGGTAGATGTTTCAATGTTGGACTCTGAAGTTCTGGACTCAACAGCGGATGGTGGAGGAGAGTCTTGAGATTATCTTGGAACTCAAGAGGGCTTCCATGGCTTGTACACTTACCTTCAACAACTCACGACATGCTATGTCTTTGTCCATTTTGCCAATATCTTTCATCTAGTCAGCTTCACTTTCACAGGTTGACCGACACGTTTCCTGCACCTAGATATGCAGGTCTATCTACTGACGATGCGAATAAGGCTGCAATTCTCATAGTTGGGATCAATAGTTCCTATGGTGGCGTTCTAATTCATTGTACATACTTACAAGCGAGCCGCAGAACCCGCTCAGCAGGCCCTGTGGATAAGAGACTCTGAGTTTTGCATGATTTGTGGAATATGAGAAGTGATAGAACCCCGTTATCACCAATGAAGCGGCCAGGCAGGACCCGAAATATATCTTGAGAAACCATGATGTGCTATTATACGTAAGTCATTTCCCTGCTAAAACACTGGTAGATTTCAAGAGGCTAAGCTTACTATGAGGATATTCAATATCGCTACGGTCACAGATTGATGGGGAGATATGAGAAACTCCATCTCAGCTATACATAAAGTCAATACATAGTTAGCGTTTGTTTGTGTCACGGAGTGAAATGATCCTTAGCAAACATATGCAGGCTTCCGTACATCTTCCATACCAATAGGACACATGAACACGACTGTTTACTGAACCAATGGTCGAACAAGCAGTTCAGGTAATTTACGTGTTGTTCTAATCACAGTTGTTGAGTTCAGCTTTAACACTACTGAAGTGTTTGCTTGTTCTCGCTACTGCTGGGTTAAGAAAGATGTACACCAGGCCTAGTGTGTAGCAACTTGAGGGCAGCCATGTTAGCTGGTTTGGTATCGAGCGAACTTAGTATATATCGTCTTCTCAAGCTTTGTATACCGTGTTTGTCAGAGGCGAAACAGATTGACAGGGCCTTGCATGGACGAGCAGGGAAAGTGGTTGAATAGATCATCGACGTCCTTTCATACTTTCTCATGACTGAGTATTCGCAGTGCCTGCAGTAACGCAATAGACACTTGTACAAATCTCTCACAATGTACGAAGATCTTTAGACATATTCTTTTTAGATTTACCTTGGATGTCACAAAAGCATCAAGTATCTCCTTGCAGATATTTACCCCAAGGCTTAGAATTCAGACTCTGCGATACTAGTTTCAAACTGACAGGTCTTTCATGAAGTACTGGAGCCAAAAATCATAGAATTTGTTAAATGGGGCATTTTCAATCTGTTATCGAGTACTATCTGGGGGAATTGGGGAATATGGCCTGTTTGCTCAATCTACATCATGACTCTTCATGCAGTATCTCCATTCTCAATCTCAAAGCGCCATCCATAAATCGCCAGCAACATTCTTTACCAAAATTATCTCCCGCAACGTCATCGTTTTCTGCCCATTCTCTGACCAAATCACTGCTTAGCCTGTTTGGCACGAGTCTCCTTCTCCATCTCGCTAATCAGCGTCTGTTTATCCTTTCCGGAGAACAGCATTCGAAGCTGAAGATCATTAGAGAAGTGAGGCTGCATTTCCTCATCCTGTAGTGCAGCCCTGATGATCTCTTCCTTGACGTTTTGCAGCATGATGATACGTTCATCAATGGTATCCTTCGCCATGATGCGAACAAGGTATGTCTCCTTCAGCTGACCGGTTCTGAAGACTCTTTTGAACGCTTGTTCCTCGACGGCTTTATTCCACCATTCGTCAACGATGATGACGCGGTTGGCCATCTGGAGGTTCAGCGATTGTCCACCGCACTTCATTGACGACACCTACAAGACTGTTAGATCTCGTCGGGGTTTGCGACAGAGTGGGAGAACTCACCAGAAACTTGATGTCGGGGTTGTTAGTGAACTCATCTAATGCTCGAGATTTCTGCTTCTCGTTTGCCATTCGGTTGTAGTAGAGAAATTTGATGCCCATACTTTCAAGAACACAGCCAAGAGACTTTGCAGTTCTAGTCCACTGGACGTAAACTAGACCCAGAGTCAGTACTCGTATATCTCATCCAGTAAACCCCGAGAAAACTTACTGATGATCTTGTCATCGGGGGCCTCTTTCATCCAGGTCAACATCACTGCCAAAGTGGCTTTCACTTTGAAGCTCAGAGGCATCTTTACAGGACCATAGTCGATATCATCGCGGCCACAAACAGCGCGAAAGAACGAAACCCGCTCTTTTGGACCACTAGTCCATCGTGTTCCGATACTGTCACGCCCCGGTTCCTTGTAACCTTTTATAGCTTTGACAGCCGCGTCGATGCAATCCGGAGTCTTCACTGCTTGGCCCATTCCAAGCTTGGAAGAGCATCCCGTATTGCGACACTGAGGAGGCTGTAGCTGGAATTAGCAAGAGTCCTGAGAAATAATATCGTTATGTGAGTATCGCTTACCACACGGGCGCGGCCGGTTTTGGTTACGCCGCTGACTGCAATGGAAAGGCAGTCTCTGCAGTAGATATGCTCGCACTGGTAATATTAGCAACGCTCCGCATGACCCATATACCGACTTACGTTCGAACTCTGAACAGGGTTCGCAGGAGGGTTTCTCTTGCGACAGAAGGCACAGGTGATTTCCTTGACTTTATTCTCGTTAGCTGCAAGTGTTAGTAGCTCTGCCATCTCCTTGCTACCCCCAAACTTGTCCTTGATCGCCAACTCCAACTGTCGGAGCCCTGAAGAATAGGCTGGCTTGAGGGACGCTTCCAGCGCTTCCTGATCTGCATCGATGCTCGACTGAGTAATTTCTGACTTCAGCCGCTCGAGGGTCAGGCCAATGTATACATCATGGTCTTCCTCTCGATAGAACTTTTCAAGGTTGAGAGGGTGAGACGTCAGTTGCAGGATCCTCATGCACCGCAGACTCTGAATTCTGTAGGCATTTGGAGCCTTGGAACCGCTGTTCCCGTCACCTTCGAACTCGCCTTCACTCTCATCGTCGGGTACATCCTCATTTTCCTGAGGATCCTGCTGTTGTTCGTGTGCGACAGTCTCTTGGTTGTCATTTTGGACGTTGAGAAGTTTTTCTTGGTACGCACCATCCACGGCCCTGCGAGGGATATCAATATAAGAGCGCAAAGCCACAATTTTACAAAGACGTGCACTTACTCCAAATGGATCTTCTCCCAGCTTGAAAAGGGGATCCAAATATCACTGCGATGGCTTTTTGGCAGGGGAACAATGGTGTGTCCCAGGAACTTCTCGGTTTGCTGTCTGATGGTAGTTAGAATGTTGTCTACTACTTCACAATATTGAGCTCTTACCGTCTCATCATGACAAGTCCCACCAACTGATCGAAATTTGCAGCTGCCTGGTCCTGGGTACGTTTAGAGGAGTAAGAGATAGATGGACTACCAAAACTTACATCCTTGATGTACTCAGCTCTGTATCTTCTCATTGTAGTTGCAAAATCGCAACCAATGAACTTTAAGTAGGGGTAGAACTCTAGTTACGTGAGTAAGAGACGAATGTAATCATCGGAATACTCACCTTCCAGTCTGTTGGCAAGGGGCGTGCCAGTCAAAGCCCAACGATACTTGGCGTTCAGTCGCCAGACTGCAAGAGCACCTATTCCATGTGAGTATGTGGACAAAGGTTCAAGATATGAGACCGACCACTTGATGTGTGAGTCTTGATACCATGAGCCTCGTCCAGAATGATTCGATACCAGTTGATTTTGAAGAGTTGACCGAGCTTCTTCGAGAGAGCTTGCTGAAACCCATTGTTATCTCCTGCCCATTGGGCCTTCAGCTCTTTGTATTCCTTCTTGCTGGGGAACTGTGCACGTATTGCATTTAAATGGGTGATTCTTTGATTTGTTAGTATCTCTTATTCAACAAGCGACGTTTGAGCAATAAACGTACACCACATTCTTCGTGCTCCACCACTTTGCGTTCTTCTTGATATCCTTGGCGTAGATCAGGCACCTATTGGCAAACCTTTCCGAGGTATGCTTACTGATTTGATCCATCCATGTCCTTGAGGCAGAATGAGGGCTGTCAGCAATCACCAGAGTTGCCTTGCCATAGCCCTCATCTCTGTCTTCTGGCTCTGCTCGATGGCCGATTATTGTTGCCAGAGCAGTGATTGTCTTTCCAAGGCCCATCTCGTCAGCGAGTATGCCTCCAGCGGGATGTAATTCCATGGCTTCACGCATGACCATCCAGGTAGCACCCACGAGCTGCTGGCTGTGCAAAGGGGTTCCCATCCCTTTAAGCCTCCACTTCCCGTCAATAGCCTCGATCTTCTTGTACCCAAAGCATTTTTTAGCTTTGATTAGATCACGTCGTTGTGTCTTGGTATGTCTAGTGTCGTTTCCCTCGGGAATACCAGCCATGATCTGCTTTATCTGAGCTTCATGGGTTGTGGCCTTAATTCTGTTCGTCGGTCCGCTGTTGTCGTCGTCGTCGTCTTGGGGCTTGCTTGAAGTGAATAAGGCTGCTGCTCTCGAGAAACCAGGGTGCTCAACTCCACCAAAAGGTCCAGCTTGGATGGCTGTCTTCTGAAGTTTGTTTGGGGTTGCCTCATCGCCGTCACGTTTGCGCTTTCTGTCATCTTTTTCCTCTTTTCGCTTCAAATAGCGCTGCCAGTATTCCCGAGCCGTCTTAGCCGGGGACTCTCTTGCATTCATAGCAAGTGCTTTCTTCGCGTTGGCTATCTTTACGTTAAGTGTCTCCATTTGCTGCTGCTCCTCAGGCGTTAACTTTTCCCCTTCGTGCTGCTTGTAGAACAGATCGTTTCTTAGAATTTCGCATTTTCTGATAAGCTTTTTGACTGTTGAGACTTCACAAGTACCCTGTTTCGACTTGCCTTGCTTCTCTTGAGCTTCCGAATCGTCTGAGTCGTCTGAATCGTGGTAATCTGAATCCTCGTCATGTGCGGAATCTGGATCGTCCTCATCCTCAGTATCTTCCTCATTAGGCTCCGGGTTAGCAACAATGGTATCACAGAACTCTTCGACTGTAATGGCTTTGTTTCTTTGAGGCTTCAGTCTTTTCATCTTGAAGCTCTTTTTGTCCTCATCGCTCTCCTCCTTGACGAGAGTGAGGCTGTCGCTCATTGTTAGTGGAAGTCTATTGGAAGACTTAAAAAGGCAGTCATCATCAGAGTCTTGTTCCTCTTTCTTTATAACGTGCTGGCTGACGCCGGCGACGGACGATGCTGCAGGATCCATTATGAAAGAGATGGAAGAGATGGAATAAGGAGAGGAAAGAAGATGAAGGAAGGAGAAGGGAGGAAAGGGGGGTTTATATAACCGTGGAGGAAGAGGCACTGAGTCACTGCCTCAAGTTGTGCGGATGCCCTTAGACTAGACTTAAGGCTTATGAGAAGGTTCTTTGAGTTGAGACAAATTAGAGGCATTGAATCACTTTCTGACGCTCTATCGCTTAAATTATGGTCTGTATAGTTATGAGAAGCTCCTTTCGGTCGGGGAGCTGGGATGAAATCACTCCTTCTCTGAGTGCGTACCTTGTGGGCATAATGAATACGCACTCCAAGATCAAGGCACTCTCGATAATCAGCACAGTAAGTCAGTCAATCCATCTTTCTTTGTATTGCCCTATGCATAATATCCATCACCACTTCAAAACCGCACACTCAGCTTTCACGTTCAAGCGTGTCATTGGAACTTCATCTTGTGTTAATGTTGAATCTTTGAGTTCTCATTTGACACATTCTCATTTTTTACCATTATTAACCAAGCCTCTTCTAACCTTGGACTTACATGAGCCATCTACTCATCTTGTATTATAATATAATTCAATTATGAACTTGGGCATACCATATCATACAATGTTTCTGCTCTCAAGTGAATGTGTAACCTGGAACTCTCTATTATCTGACCTACCCTAAGCCTCCATATCAAGTACATTCAATGTCCTGAAAGATTATCAGGTTGAAAAGATGCCAGGAATAGCATTAGTCCTTTTCATATAATCTTCGCAATATCTGCGCCAATGATCGTTCAAGGCACGAACTGACACTCTATCTGTGCATATCAGGGAAGTGCATGTCCATATGTCTTCAGAGTTGTATGTCTGAAGTTGTTATGTGCTTCCTCCAATCAAAGTCTCTGGTGTGTATTACTTAACCACAAATCTCATAAACGACATCGGTCAGAGCTTATCGAACCTGTTGTCCCGGTTCGGCCAACCTTGATGTTCTAACTTCTAGCGCTCCCGGAATCAGTCGCCGGCGCGTTTCAGCATGCGAAGACAGCTTCAGACCTTCCCCCGCAGGAAGGAACCGATCCATTGTAAGGATTTTTCTGCATCAGACCATTTGCGACTCATGCAGCTAAAATTCTCTTCAGCTTTGTCTGCAGACGAGTCGTGAGGGCCAACGATATGCAGGTGCTTGCACCAGAACTGCCTAGTCTGTACTAACCAGCTGTTTCAACGCTTTGATACAGTCACAACCAACACCATGACAAAAAGCCGCAGCGATATCTGATACTGGCGCACGGGAATTAAATCACATCTGTGCTGTGCTGTGCTGTGTCCGAGACCCTTTACACGTCTGACAGAGTCTGTGCAGTGAGGGGAAGAAGACGCATGAACAACAAAAGCACAAACCACCAGGCCCGAGCAAGCAATAATCAGGGGATGGGGTCCTATATTCGATTGGCGAATGCAACTAAATACGCCTGGATAATGGGGTAGATTATCCGAGGTGCCACTGTAGATGCTAGATGACGTTCGCCTGTCGCGTGAGCAATAAAAAGAAATTAGTTCAAATCGTAAAGACAAGCATCCCCGGGTCCTACGTGCAGATGTCAAAAAAGATTGGAGGGAAAAAAGCAAAAAACACAGCCTTGCACAGAACAAGACCAAATTGCCGGGTTTGACGCTCGACGCTCTACAGGGATCAATCATGGAGGACCAACAGGGCGAGACATGACGGTGTGGCACTAATTCCATCGTATTCATTCCATCGTATTCAACCCAATCTGTTCAACGGGCCGACGCGGTTCGGCGTATTATTTTTGGTGACTGCATTTACATTTCTGAGGAATTTGGAATGGCGATGAGATAAAGATAAAGATGGTGATGAGAATGGCATACCTCGTCTCTTTTCATCGTCATTACCATGTTGAGATGATTGACGCAGGGATGCACCTTGGCCTGTCGATCATGTGTGTGGCTTGAACCTTTTGGCCAATGGTCACGTAATTTCTGTTCTTTAAGTTTATCTTGGACGATGGGGAATGTTGAAAATGGTAGTTCGATTTGATGATATATAATCATGCAAAGCTAGGTAATTAATGAGAGTGTCACTGTTTAATTTGTTTTAATTGAATTGATTAAGAACAAGGGTCTCTGATGCAACCTCGATGTTTCAGATGAATTGTCAATTGCAACTCCACCACACACTCGCATGTGGTCTTTTTTCTTTAGTGGCAGAGCGGCCTATCCTTGTCGATCCTCCTTGATTAACTTCTCCAAAAGTGTTTGCATCTATCTGCATAAAATCGACCTCAACCTTCGTCGTTATCATTTCCCGAGACCACGTAACCTTTCAACGCCTCAAAGGAACAGAGTTTGAACGGAACCATTTCCTTTAATCGGAAAAAAGAGCCAGAAGGAAAAGAACGTTGGCTCTTGACTCAACTCAGAGTACAATGACATGACAACGAATGGGTCCGTGTTGTCGGATCGTAGATCGCTAGGTTGGGCTTTTTTCTCTCTTTCTCTTTGAAGGGCTCCTCTTTTGGGCGACCAGCCCGCAACGGATCGACGCCTCTTGTTAGCCACCGCAAGCTCTGGACCGATCCGCTGGTGGTTCAGTTGTTAGCTTCGATAGTTTGTCTCTCAGTCAACAGGGCCCGAGAGGCAAGAGACAGAGTCAGTCTGTGAGGAGAGTCTTATGATAAATGGATTTATCATCAATGCACGTTGAACCCCTGCAAACTCAAAACTCAATGCAAGTCTTCAGCTCGTCGGTCTACTGATCAGGGGGATAATAAAACACCGGAACCTACTCAGCGAGTTTTGGTGCGAAACCTTCCGCAGTATTTTTTCTACTGGGCGGGCATGTCTTCCGGAAAACATGTGCTATCTGCATTTCTGCAGCGCTAAAAAGGGGACCCAGCATTGCAGAAGCCACTGGGTTCTTTAGTGGCTTTCGGCCAAGGTTGCATGAACCTGACTTGGCCCGCCCCCGCAAGCTTACCTTAGTAGCCTGTGATTGATCCACTGAATTGCATAGCGACCTGAGAGCGAGTCAGTCTTGGGTCGTTCTCTTACGACCTGAGGAAGGAGCTGGGCCTGGTACCGTAGTATTAAGCGATCGTGGGCTGCTCCTGCTCCGCGACTCGCGATTGAACGAGGGTGCTATCCTGTCATTGCTTTACCTGGGCTGCTCTTGCCTTTCTTATTGCTCTTTCCGCTCGGGTCCCATTCTTTCCTTCTTTACTTTCTTCTCTCGTCTTCCATCCAATCTGATAACTTACAACCTCCCACCAACACATGATCTTCTAAGGTTTACACTGTCGCTCTCAACAATAACAACTCTTTCTTTTTTCCTCTCACTAAATGAGAGTACAAATATCCATATTCTAATCCTCTTCTTTCTTTCTGGCGCGCTATAAACATCAATCGGCAACTGTTATAATAACCCATTGCGCTTGTGTCGCACAATTGCATTACATTCTACCACTCCCGAGACATAAAGCAACAACCCGACTTGTCCGTCTCCTTTTTGTGGAGGGGCATAATAATTAGGACAAGATGCCTACAATCAACGCTCTTCGATCATTCGAACCTCCTCCTATTCCATCTCTTCCCGATTTTGAGCGTCGTCGTTCCACAACATCGACACTCTCCAACAACAACTCCGATTCTGTCACCTCATCTCTGCGGGGTCTTCAATCACCACCCAAAAGTAGCAGATCAACACGCCCCAAGAGCGCTAAATTCTCATCATACCGCCTGCGCAGCAATTCAGGCCTTTCACTTCACACCAATGAGGACATCCTGAGGCAATATACCGACTACCACCCTGATGGCACACCGCGCGCCGGCATGTATAGCAATGGGCTGGGGCAGTGGTCAGGTGAGAGATTGAGGAGCATTGACTCTGTGACATCGTCGAGAAGTCAAAGATCCAGTATTGCTTTCACTGAGTCGGACGGTTCCGGCGAGTTACCGATTCCTGATCTAGTTGGACGAGAGATGTTTGATATGGTCATGGCCGATCATGCTGCTAGTGGTCAATTATGGCGATTCGCCGCCAGTCGAGGAGTTGGTCAGAATGTTGACTACCTCATGAAGGTAAGATGAGAAGGCACGATATTACCTCAGACTCTAATCATATGAACAGATTCGCGACTATATCCAATCCCTGGAGCAGGTTGTCATTCAACTCTCGACAATATCAACCTCATATACATCCATTACCGCAACATCACCAATTAACCTGCCCTCCCCTATGTCCAGGGCTCTCAACACGAACATCAAGCATCTCACAACATCACTTATTCCCAGCCTGGAAAACATGTTTCTGGAATCCAAAACCTATATCGAACAGCGCATCGTCAGAGAAATCTTTCCCGATTTTGTCAAACAACAGCTATCGCAGTGTACCAGTCTGGCTCTCTCCCTCGATGCAGAAGGTGACTCACCACCAAACCCTTACCCCGGCCTTAAGGGATCATTTTGTTTAAGCGATCCCTCACGATCTGGAAATCCCATCATCTTTGCTTCCGATGAGTTTGAGGAATTGACAGGATATTCACGAAGTGAGGTTTTGGCACACAATTGCCGCTTCCTTCAGGGGCCACAGACTGATCGAGACGGAATCGCCAAGATGCGCTCCGCAATCTGGCGCAACGAAGAGTGTACGGAACTGCTCCTCAACTTCCGAAAAGACGGAACGCCGTTCTGGAATCTTCTCTTCCTGTGCCCCCTTCTCGACACCACCGGTAAAACAAAGTTCTTTATGGGCGCCCAAATCGACGTATCGTCCTCACTGCACGACACTCATGATGTTCTGAAGGTTTTGTCGTACGGTGCTGCAGAGGAAGATAAGGCACCCGAACGGAGCAACTCTCGCTGGGCCAGCGACGGATCTCAGGGCGAGCCTGAAGCTGAGGAAACTCTTAGTGTCAAGAACAACCAATACAAGGCAACAAAGATGGCAGGATTCTTCAAAGCGTTCAAAAAGCCGCCGCCTCCTCCTCTGTCGCCACC